AGTGTTTGCATCCCTGATGTATTTTTCTAGGGTTTTTTCCTTAAATCCCTGAAAAATAATGTTTTTAGAAATACTTTTCCATCTGATTCCTTCCCTAATTTTGTACTCTGTTGCTACCAATTTACTGCTTAGCCTATTTCTAGTCATTGTGATCTTACGCTTCATGCTAGTAGTCCTTGGAATTGATAATTGTCTATGAAGAGACTCCAGAAGGTTAATAATGCTGTGACCACAGCCAAAGTTTATGTGCACCTCTTTTCATCTTCCCCACCTAGATGAATATTTAATTTGCAAAAGAAATACTCCAGGTTACATTTTTCCCGTTTCCAGGTTTTTTATTAGAAAATATGCAGCCTACTCTTCTGGCATCTTTTTTTTTACTCACTGGCTTATTTTCAGGAAGCCCAGGAAAAAAATGTGTGCTTGAGTGTAGTCATGCTAATTCATATTACATCAGCTGATACGGGAGACTGTACAGCATAAAGTGTTTCACATCAGAGGTCAGTGTTATAAGGAACTGAAGTACCTAAAAACTTTAGTATTTCCTTTCTCTGTATAGGAGAATGTTGGCTTGAGTTCAGTAGGCATTAAGACAAAGTAAATGCTTTATCTGTAACCAGAAGCCAAAGTGCCCATTTAGGTAAATCTTATGCTTTACCACTTATTTAAATAAATAAGTAAATAAATAGTTGCAGCAGCTCCGGAAACAAAGTTATGGTTGGCAAGAGGCTCTGGCATGTGCTTGGAGTGTATCCAGGCCACAGGTAGATCCCATCACACAGACACATTAAAGACAATTTTTTAAATTAAGAATAACATTGAACAATTATTCTTCACTAGTTTGTTCAGCCAGATTCTTTTTTATGTTTAGTTGAATGACACAGAGGAAAAAGCCAAGAAACAACAGGATTGTTAGTTAAACTCACAGTTTGGAGCAGCTGGAGCTAGGTACTCTTTCCAATTTGCCTACTCAGATCAATTTGTTTGGGTAGTTTCAGTAAAATTCAAGTATACCTTGTTGGTTTGAAATTGTTTCAGAAGTGCTGAAACTAATATTTCAATTTCTGGGACTTAAAAAAGAACAAAACAAAGAACTTTATTCACAAAGCTTTGGGTTAAGGAGTATTTGTTTTCTTCTTAACTACCAACCTAGTGATTGCCATGCGGCGTGGGACACCTAGGCTTGTCTGGTTTTTTTTTCTTCTGTCAGTTTTCTCACCATTTAAAGAGTTCCCTTATGACTGGCGTATAGGATAAAACAGGGTGAGCTACAGTGTGTTACCTATTGCCAGAAAGGACCACAAGTGTGCAGTTGAAGTTAGCAGCAACTATTTAGCTAGCTAAAGCCACAGTGCTTCCTCTACTAACAAACTGTCTACAGTAGGCATGGAAGAAAATGAAGGCAACGCTGAAGAAGAGAAACATGTATTAGTGTAGAGGAAAGAATAGGATGGAGTCACAGGTTATAATCTGTATCATATCCAATTTGCAGGTGGGTCTGAAGTCATTTGAACCATTTACAGGCAAATGAAATTGTAAAGAAGCTAGCTTCTGCCTTTCATAGCTTGAACTCTGTTTTTCTAAAGCGGGAAAGTACAAATATATAAAAACTGGAAAACAGACCATCCCCTTTCACACGATCCCAAAAAGAAAAGGCAAGAGACATAAACGTTTTGCAGGAGGCATGGCAGAACAAAACCAGCAGACTTGAAAGTCAGATAAAGCAGAAAAAAATTACTAATTTGCCTTACTAAATATGCATGGTCCTATGCAGAAGGCAGTTTTTCAGAATTTCACGGCTATGATGTTAGGAATGGCAAATTTAAGAAGGGCAAATACAATTTTTTTTTCTGAAAGTTTAGAAAACCTACTAAATACGAAAGAAAACTTTCCTTCTTTCCCCACCAAAAAAATCCAAACCACCAAGTATAAACAGGTATTTTTTTGTTACTTTTGTGTCAGCCATTATAGACGTGTTTACTGTACTTAGTAATTAAGTTCAGAGAGGAAAGAAAATAAAACATATCCAAAGCTTGATGTGCAGAATTCTCATTTCCATTGGTTCTGATCTGCTGCTTTATATAAATGGACCTCAGTGTTACATCTCCAGGATGACAGTAAGCACCGCCTTGGGTCTACCTCCTGGTTTGTGCCACAATTATTGTGCAAGTTGAGCTATGGAATGTGCGTATGAGAGTGAGACAATTTGAAAAGAAAGAATTTAAGAAAAGTCGTTAAAGGGCAGCAAACAGTATATGCAGAAGAGATGTCATTCCTCACTGAAAAAAGGGCTGCTTGCATGAAACGAGCACCTTGCTATTTTTCATAGAGCAACACAAGTTCATAAAATGTACTCAAATTTACATAATTCCTCTCCATTGTAAATACAGCCATTAATCCTATCCTGCTGACTTGCTTTTCTGGAAGGTGGATCAGCTGAAGCAAATATTAGATCAACAAGCAAATGATTTTAAGGAGTCACTGAAGAAACATACTCTACAGTCCAACAAAGAAAAAGAGAAGCTTTTGCAAGATCTTCAAAATACCATTAAAGAAAACCAGAATGTTAAACTGCAGCTGGAGGCATCACATCAAAAAGTCTTAAAAATGTTGGAGAGAAGCAAAAATCAAGAACTCAAGGTCAGTTTACAACATACTAGTGTAAAAAGAATTGTATCTGTGGGATAAAGCATATTAGTTAGAGCAATTTAGCAAAACTTTGTTATCTCCAGTGATCTTAAAGATGAGCTACTATTGTTGCACATAATGAATTATTCTGTGATTTTGAAACCTCATCATCTTTGGGTTTTGGTATTTTATCTGGTTTTATTTATTTGTTTATTTATTTTAACATTTGAACTTAGACCGCAGTGTGAATGAAATAAATGAAAGGAATGAAATTTAAAAAAGAAATTAATTTATGAAATGAAAATGTTTCATAAAATAATATAGCCTATGCTCTACAGTTAGGCTGCAGTGAATACTAGCTCCTGTAGCTGTGCTTGTCCTTCAGAAATACAAGCGAATTCCTAAGTGTATTATTAACAGGACTCAGTTTTATTCTTTTTAATCCATTATTAATTTATATATAAATACTTTAAAAGAAGTGTAAAAGGCTTGTATAGTGATGTCTATTGCCTTAGATACCTTCAAGAAATCACTTCTGTAAGTGGATAACCAAAGCTTTTAAAGGTTCATGTGGATTTATTTCAGTGACAAAGTGTTAATGCAGTATATGGAAGTTCTAAAGAATGTTGCTGTTTGAGAGAGAAAAAAAATTTAAAAGTCTATCTGTGATTGTGACACGGAGTTCAGATGTTCCAGTTGGTGTCCCACAATTTAGGGAAAACCTGCTTATAAAACCTACATAGTAAAACCACCCTGAGTAGTTTTTTGTTTATATATTCAGAGTAAAATCCCAGCTCTAACAAAATCGAGCTGAAGGTTTGGTAAAAAATGGAACTGAGGATAGGAGCTTGCTTTCAGAGCCAGTGCAGAGCAACTGGTCTGTTGTTCACAGTGTATGGGTGGCACTTGGAAGTTTTAGCCAAGAACGAAACACGTAAAGGTAGAAGCTTTTGTCTGACACACTGTAATAAGTAATGACATACAGTTCAAATCTGGAGAGTTTTATATATTGAAAAATAAAACATCTTTCTAGTGCCAAATAGTGCAGAGATGTCAATGTTGTTATTTCATGATGTACAACAAATATAATAGATGATATCTTGATAATTTATCTTGTTCCTATTTTTATTCTTGTGTTGCTGAAGTGACATGCAAAGTGGTGATAAAAATAAAAGTTCTACAATGAAGGGCCAGTTATTTCATATATATTTGTACAACATATATATTTGTACAACAAATATAATAGATGATATCTTGATAATTTATCTTGTTCCTATTTTTATTCTTGTGTTGCTGAAGTGACATGCAAAGTGGTGATAAAAATAAAAGTTCTACAATGAAGGGCCAGATTCATCCTGGCATTACAAGTAAAACAACAACATGGTAAATAGGTTGCAACTATTTTGTTTTTTGGGGGAGTTTGCTTACAGGAGGCAGAAGAACGTCTGAAAAAGGAATTTAATGAGACTTTCAAGATCCAACATCAGTCTCATAGGCTGGAAATGCAAACATTGGAAGAGAAAGCAAAGAAAGAATTACATGATGAACTCGAGCAGATACAGAAGCAGCAAACCCTGTTGTTAGGTACAGTGTCTCATGTCATGCACAGTTCCTATGGCTTGATTATATGCTGAGAAGCACTGACTTCCCTCCCATCCATTTTCTTTCCCATCTTCTGGGAGCTCAGGTCTTTGTGAATCTTCTTTTCCATACTGTGCAATTTCAGCAAGACAGACTTAATATTCTCTGTTAACCTACCTCTCAGCCATTAGCAGCAGAATATTGCTGGGAGAGTAGTCTGCTGTATAACATTCAAGTATGCCTTATCAGGTGTATTAAATTGTAGTGAGTGTATATCATAGAATCGTAGAATTGTCAGTTGGAAAGGGACCTTAAAGATCATCTAGTTCCAACCCCCCTGCCATGGGCAGAGACATCTCCCACTAGATCAGGCTGCTCAGAGCCCCATCCAGCCTGGTCTGGAACACTTCCAGGTGTGGGGTTTCCACCCCCTCTCTGGGCAACCTGTGCCAGTGTCTCACCACCCTCATGGTGAAGAACTTCCTCCTAACGTCCAATCTGAACCGATCCATCTCTAGCTTCAATCCATTCCCTCTAGTCCTACCACTACCCAACATCCTAAAAAGCCCCTCACCAGCTTTCCTGTAGGCCCCCTTGAGATACTGGAAGGCCACAATAAGGTCTCCTCGGAGCCTTCTTTTCTGCAGACTGAACAACCCCAACTCTCTCAGTCTGTCTTCATAGGAGAGGTGCTCCAGCCCTCTGATCATCCTCGTGGCCCTTCTCTGGACACAGTCCAGCACGTCCATATCTTTCTTGTGCTGTGGGCTCCAGAGCAGGACGCAGTACTCCAGGTGGGATCTCACAAGTGTGGAGTAGAGGGGGAGAATCACCTCCCTCTTTTTTCTATGATGTGAGGAATTACTATTTGTGGTTTAAGTCTGTTTTGCTGAGTTCAGTGGTGGGGATCAGTTACTCTGTGTGTGTTGTTCAGTTAGTTTAGAAAGTTCCCTAAACTGTTTAGAGCTAAAGAAAGTGTTGCATTCGAAAGACCTGTAATATCTCCAAGCTTGAACTCAGCTTATTAAAGCTCATCTGTAGAAGTTTTTTTTGTTAAAGAAAGAATAATTTGAAGGTACTTTAAGTGCCAATTGGATTTGCTTCTTGGTTTGTTTGGGGTTTTTTTTTCAGTAATTCAAATTTGCTAAAAAGATTCATTGCTCTCTGAACTTTGTATGTTCAATAGATAAAGTCTGTTCTTCAAGAAAAATTGGAGAGAAACAATAGAGAGAAAATTTTTTTTTCTCATTGTACTTGAGTCATCCTAAAATTTGCACCCAATATATACAAAAGTTGCAGAGTATGACAGATCTGCTTGCATAAGCGTTGTACTTCTCTGACACAACCAGAGCTCTCCTTAGCCTCCCTTATGGCCCTCTGTAAAACACCAGTGGACTTAACAGGGAAGCTCAGGGGTGCTCCAGTAAAGTTCAAGGTTAGAGGAAACAATTATAGTGATTTAGTCTGCAAAACAACTGTCACAGAATTAGCTCTGTGATTCCTATGTTGAACCATTGCTATTGTACTTCTCTATCTTCTTACTGTTGCTTGACTGAGCTACTGCTCTAGTAAAAGGAGGCCAATATACTTAATGGTGAAAGAGTAGAGAAACAAAGCAAAATGTAGTGTATTCATGTTTTCATCTACATTGTCTCTATCTACCTTCCCACCCAGCTGGCCTCTCACTGCCTTAATGATTGTCTGTCCGGTTGTTACTAGGATCTCTAAGGATGGAACTCTCTGAGCAACAGACATCATGCACTAACCTCAAAAAACAAATAGAGGAACTCCAAATGGAGCTGAGGAGTGTGAGGACACTGAAGAAGCAACAGGCAAGAGTCTGTTTCCTAATTCATTGCCATGTTGCATTTTGCGAAAGTAGTGGTATCAAATTTCTCTCTTCAGAGATAATAAAACTGTACAGTCTTTTACAGAATTGGAATGGGTTTCTTTCCCTTAGAACGTTAGCATTGTTCATCATCTTTTCCATAAGGGCAGGCTTTATTTTTCCATTTAAAGATCAGAATCTACAACACAAACAAAGGAATGTTACAATAAAATAAAATTTTGTGGAGATTATAAAATATGTTCAGCGAATTTTGATCACAGATTTTTGTATTACACCTAGAATTGCACATATAATTGAAAAATCAGTTCACAAAAATTCAATGCATGCTATTCCACTGAGATCCTTGCATTAAATAATATGAGGCTGTGAATAACTGAATTTGGCTTTTTTTTGTAGGAAGGAAGTAGCCAGAGTCAGATCAGATCTCTTCATGACGAACTGGAAAAATGTCAGAGTGAAATTTCTGAACTCAAGAAAGAGAATTTACTTTTGAAGGATACAATGGAGCTACTCAGTGCTGAGCTGGAGTCGCAGAAGCAAGAAGCTACACAGCTTCAGGATAGGGAGAAACAGCACAGAAGGTTTGCCTTAAATTCATACTTTACAGTGCTATGTATAGAATTGATAGTAATGCCAGCATTAGAGGTGCTCTAAATGTTCTAAAGTACTAATTGTAGAGGTTAGGAGTTTTGCAAAAGCAGTGGTTCATTTCACACTTCTCTCCAGCCATAACAAAAATGTTTGAACTGTACATTATATGTCAGAGAAATATGTCCAGTGTAGCCCCATGGGAGTGACCTGAGAAAATCTGTGTAATGTCAGCCTTTGAAAGGCAGTGGAAGTTGTAAACAAATCTCTCTCACACACAAGAGTTATTTAAAAACTGTAGAAGCCTCTGAGAAGAAATATTGGGATTTTGTATCTACTTTCTGTAGCTGAAGCCCATGGGTTGTTAACTCTGAAGGGGACACTTGACAGTGTTGTATGTACTCTGTGAGACTCTGCTCTGGCTGTAAGATGCAACTTTGCACTGGAGTAATGGGGGTAGTGATAGCAGATAACAACAGTGCCTCTGGGCTGATGGAAACCTGGAGCTGTAACATGCTCTGAGGGCACAGGAAAAACAAGATCACTCGTAGTTTTCTCTGTCTTTGTCGAAGGTGTAACCACAGGCTTGGAGCACCTGTTGGATTGCAGTAGTCATCTTCCCGTTTGTATACAGAAAAACTATAGGACTTACCTTTTACATGGGAGGCAAGACTGGGGTTCACCGCCTGGTGCATTTTTATGGCTGTTGAATCCTTTGAAATTTCTGAATAATGATACTTAACACGTTCTCTGCAGAGAGATTGAAGGATCTAGTGCATGGGTGCCTTTCAATTTATTTCTTCAATGATGTAGAATGTATGCCCCTAACTACTCAAGCTGTATATATTAAAAGATTTCTCAAGAGTATACCCTGAAAGGAATCTTTAAAATTATGTCCTATATAATCTAGAGAAAAACACTGAAGGGGCACAGCATTTCTCAGCAGACTGTCAGAGTAGCCAGAGTAATTCCATTGCAGTCTGCCAGTCAGTAGATATTTAAAGAATGAGATTTTTTTTTCTCCTTTGCCATCTTTGGAGAGTTACTTGAAAGTGATTTTCATTTCAAGCTTTTGAAGCAAGATCAACAGAAAGAATTGCAAACCAGAGGGTTTCATCAGTGCCCTCCAGCTACCTTGAAGGAATTCAGAGCCTCTGTTCATGAAGAGAAGAATTATTCACGTGTCAGTGATGAGGTCTAAAAGGTCTCATGCTAAAGCTTCTGGGCTGAAGAATAATCTTTACAGGGGATAGACGATGTAGCTCTAGTAAGCATTTGAGAAGGAGGCATTAATGGAAATTATGTAAGGAGAAATCCTTCAAATAACAGCAGGTAGAACCGAAGAGCTCAAATGATTCTAGGTACCTGATACATGCTGATCTAAAATTGACCATGGAAGATCTGCAACACTAACTTGCAGCTTTTTTTCTGCTTTTGCGGGACGAATAATTTGCTTAGGGGAATACTTAAACCGATGTGTGCATATAAAGAACGGCTCTCTTAGTGTTACATTAACAACAGTGACCTTGTCTTATGCTATATCCAGTTGCAAGAAACAGTATGTGAACCTTCTGGAATTTCATGGTGTTCTGCATTGATTTGTCATAAAATGTGATCTAAGCATCATCTAACTCAAGACTATTGACAAATAGAATGTGCCTAAAATAATAACACAAAAGCAACTTTGATCCTCCTTGTCTTTATTGAACACACTTATTCAATATTCAAAATGCTAGTGGAAAAAGCAAGTGAACCATTGAGTTTACCTTAAAAAGGCTAATTGGAGTCAGGTGTTAGCATACCTGGAGTCTTGTTAAGAAAATGAGCTTGGAAGTGTGGACTAGAGCTATGTTGACTGATAAGAACCACTCAGATGTTTGGGTTTGCCCTGCACAAGATGTATGCTTATGTGAGCTGTGCCTTACCAAAAAGAGCTTTCAGACGATCTATGATCAAGAATTGTTGATTTACGTAAAGCTGGAAAGGGTTACAAAGTGATTTCAAAGACCTTAGAAATTCACCAGTGTGCAGTTAGGCAAGAGATCTACAAATGGAGACACTTTGGCACTGTGGCTACTCTACCAAGAAGTGGGCACCCAGTCAAAATGACCCCAACAGCACAACGAAGACTCATCAGTGAGGTAAAGAAATAACCCTGAGTGACAGTCAAAGAGTTGAAGGCATCATTGGAACTGGCTAACATCTGTGTTCACGAGTCTACAGTACGTAAAACGTTAAACAAGCAGGGTGTCTATGGCAGGACACCACGAAGGAAGACGCTGCTTACTACAAAGAACATTGCTGCATGTCTGAAGGTTGCAAAAGAGCACACGGACACTCCACAGTGGTATTGCCAAAATGTTTTGTGGCCTGATGAAACAAAGATCGAACTATTTGGAAAGAACATGCAGCACTACATCTGGTGTAAAAAGGGCACTGCATATCATCATGAAGAAATCATCCCAGCTGTAAAGTATGGTGGAGGAAACTTCATGATTTGGGCCTGCTTTGCTGCATCAGGGCCTGGCCAGCTTGCAGTCATTGAGGGGAAGAATTCCCAAGTGTATCAAAAAATCCTTCAGGATAGTGTGAGAATGTCTGTACGTAACCTGAAACTCTGTAGACATTGGGTGATGCAACAGGGCAATGACCCAAAACACCGGAGCAAGTCCACAGCAGAATGGCTTCAAAAAAACAAAATCCGCCTTTTGGAGTGGTCAAGTCAGAGTCCAGCCCTCAACCCAATAGAGATGCTATGGGATGACTTGAGAGCCATACACATGGGATGGCCAAAGAATATGACAGAGCTAAAGCAGTTCTGCCAGGAAGAATGGGCTAAAATCCCTCCTGAATGATGTGCAGGTCAGATCCACATCTACAGGAGGCTCCTGGTTGAGGTTACTGCTGCCAAGGGGGAGGTCAACCAGTTATTGATTCCAAGGGTTCACTTCCTTTTTCCACTAGCATTTTGAATGTTGAATGAGTGTGTTCCATAAAGACATGGAGGATCAGAATTGGTTTTGTGTTATTTTAGACACATTCTATTTGTGAATATCCTTGAGTTAGATGATGGTTAGATCACATTTTATGACAAATTAATGCAGAACACCATGAAACTCCAAAAGGTTCACATACTTTTTCTTGCAACTGTAGTTGTTTCTGATTTGAGAGTGATAGAGTAGCTTGTTATTTGGATGTGCCAAATTATTCTAACCAATTATTTAAAATTACTATTCCTACTGTTGCCAAGTAAGTGAAACCAGTAATCTGCTTGAAGTAATCATTCCCATTTCCATTCTGACGAGTTTTGTGAATTCCACCTCCAGTACAGAAGCGTTTTGCAAGGACCAGGATGAGAGCAGACGAAGGTCTTTTTTACTGGGAAGAAGGGACAAGTCCCAAAGTGGCTATTCTGAAGGAGAGCTTTTATTCTATTCCTGAAGATCCATTTCAGTGTTTTACACCAGGAGCTGTAGTATGGGTTAACCCTGATGACAATTTATTTTTGAACTCTGCAACGTTCAATACTTATATGTTATCCCTGTACAGATGCTCATTTTAAAAAAAAAAAAAAAAGCTGTTTTATCAGAAAGGCCTGACTACACCTCTGTATTTTAGACTTGAATTTAGGGCAGAGTACAGCCCAGGTATCTCTTGAACCTGGCACAAGGAAGTTTTTTCCTGTCTGCAATTTTTTTTTGGTACAGATTTAAAGAATTAGAAGAAAAGCCAAGAAAATGGGAGTCCAGATCAGAAGATACACACCTTATAAGCTGTCTGCAAGACAAGTTAAGTGAGAGGGAAGACATTATCAAGCAGCTGGTGGTAAGATTTCCTTTTATATATGTACATATATATATTTTGGAATCTGTTGGGATGCTCTATTCAGTGTTTCACACATTGCTTCAGACTGATACTTTCTTTCTGTTCTGGAATATGTGATAAATATATGTTTCCATACCAACTTCCAACAAAGAGATGTTCTCATACACATAACTTTCTTTCCCCACAGGAAGGAAGAAAATTTCAGCATTCACTTTCAGCCAACAGTGAATCTTACAGGAATCGATCCTTTTCTTTCAACCCTAATACAGGATGCTTGACTCCTTCCATGAAGGTAAGATGGGCAATGCAATTAAAATCACAAATTGTGATGTTTAATTGCTATTTGAATCATACAGACAATCAGGACAATAAAGATCCTATTACTTTTTTTATGGTAATGTTATTCAGTATTCAGTATTCAGTAGAATTCTTTCCAGTAAGCCAACCTATAGTCAGGTGCTGAGTATAACATTAATTCGGTAGAAGCATATATGCACATAATACATGTGTTAAAGCAAATATAAAGCACTAGCACTCCAAAGACATCAGTCTTCCACTGGGATAAGCACAGCCATTTCTTGCAGATTTGGCAGCTGTGTACAGATTTGGGAGTTGCTATTTGGGATATTGCATGCATCGAGGAAAATTATGGATTGTGCTTGGGCTGCTCAGGATTTGCCCTCTGTCATTCCAGCCCCTTTGTATGATACTGTCTATAAATAGCCATGGCAAGAAGGGAGGTCAAGTTGGTGGAAGGACCCTAACTGAGCTCTACAAAGCTATCGGCTTTGATGAATCTAAAACCTCAAAGTCAAATACAAAAGTTGTTTTAATTGGACTACCCAATTTACAGATCCACACAGCGTACGCTGAGAATTTATTTTTAAATGCCTATAGAAGAAGATGGGAATCTTCACTTTAGGTGCTCCTCACAAGATATCTGGGAATGAGGGAGGGTTTTTTTGTAGCATAAAGTGTAAAAAAAGATGTATGGTAATGAAGTTTTCTGTTACAATAAACAGCAGAAGAGAATGGTTGAGGTACCCAGTCGTGTTGTCAGTGTTCCGAATTTAGCTTCCTACGCGAAGAGCTTTTTGAGCTGTGACTTGAGATCAAAAAGAAGTGCTCCTCAAATAACAAAATCTACAAGCTTAGACCGGAGTCCTGGCTGCCTCAGGGTGGGCTCTCCATCAGCACAGTCCTCAGACAGCAGTGCTGCCACAAGGTATTTGTCCATTTTGCAGTGACTCGTAAAATGATAAATCATTTGTATTCAGAATCTTGTAGGCAAACACATTAGACATTCGGAAATAAACAATGACGTAAGGTTCCTGCCATGCAGTGAACTCCACGTGTTCAGACACAGAATTTTAGTGCTGAAGTAAGCCATAATCACTGCCCAGCAAAACTTAGGCTCACAGCCCCTCCTGGTACAAAAAAAGAGAGGAGTTGCAGGTATTTAACTAAGAACATAGCTAACAGTGAACGTGGCTGTTTAGAACTTCAGGCATGTATCAGTGATGTGTTTTCCTTTCTACACTGGTTTCCTTCGCTTTGCACTTGGTAGATGTATATGGCATATTTTTATTTTAGGACATATTTGAAGGAATCTAGGCCAGTCATCTAGCAAAGGGCTTGGAGTTTTAAACATTGATTAGCTGATACTTAACCAAAAACTTAAATAGATGTTTTTTCTCTGAAAAGCTTGAATTTTTCTTCAAATTTGAGATATTATTCAAAAAAAAGTTTAGTGCTGTATAACCTACTTCTCTTAACTACTTTTCTTCCAGAAGTAGTTCAAAATGTTTGTAGTTAACATTATACAATTATAATGATCAATATTGAAAAAACCACCCCACCTACGGCTATACTTCAGGACAAAAGCCAGCCTTCTTGCCTGTCTCCTAGCACTGATTTGTTACCCTGTAAACTGCCTGCTGGAGAGCTCTTTCCTTGAAGGCAGATGGTGCTGATCGCTGCCAAAGACAATAACCGAGGACGCAGGCTTGGATCCAGTTTGGCAACTGCTACATCTTACAGATAAAAGCATTCTGTGTCAGGCCAGATGACTGCCAAGGCAAATTGGATTTGTGTTCTAAAGGGAAACGTGCAGGGAGACTGCGGGCAGTGTGGCTGCTACTTACTTTTTTTAATCAATCAATCAATCAATCGTAAGTGAAGTCGTGTTTGCTACTATAAGCTAACCAAAATTATAAATGTTAAAAAAGCATCTTGAATGCTTAAAAATCAAGATCTATGTAACAGGATTGATTATAAAAGCCAGTTAATAGATAAATCTTTCAGTAACAAATAAAACATTTGCCCAGTGTTTTTAATGCCTAAATCATATTTCGTCTTTTTAAGAGTGAATTGCAGCTGCTATTCAAGACTTCCTATTCTTGAAACACCTTTTTTTATTCTTTTTTGAGATGTCAAGGATTACATTTAAACATTTCTCTATAGCTGTTTAACTCACCTTCATGCTTTCCAGTGTGTTACTACCAGTGCTGTTAGCCCAGTTACCTGGCTAGCACAGAACCCACTAGAAATTGTACCTGGCGCCTTTTGGCCTCACCCAGCTCTCACATGAGCACAGATCCATTCATAGGATCATGAGGTTTTCTGGGGAAAAAAAGTATTAAATATTTGTAAGATTTTAAGTAAGTAAGTGATGCTAATGCTTATTTTTTTTGTGCAGGACACATGGCAATGAACAACCACAAACCAAGGACAACCAAAACCAAGACCCTCAGCATCAAGAATGGTTTACAAAATATTTTTCATTTTAAAGCAATTTCATTTTAAAGCAATTTTCATAATTCATGTAATTACTAGAAAAGCTGTTCCTGTTTTCTTTTAGCGAATGATAATCTAATATCTGATTTAGAAGGAAAAAAAAAAAAAAGATGTCATTTCCAAGTAAATACTTGGGAATAACTGCACACTATTACATCTAGTAACTATGGAGCCATAAGCATGGATTTTAGAAAAATGCATTTTTTAATGACTTCTGTAAAAAATGAAGAAAAAGCAAAATTCTGGATACTGTTATGAGAAGACACTTTTTAATCAAGAGACTGTACCACTCCACAATTACATCACATATGCAATTTTGTCTCTGGTATGTCCTGCCAATTTAGCTCCAGCTGAAAAAAAGATCTTACTTCGGTAGGTTATTTCTGTAGGTTTATGCATTTGCTTCATGAGCTGTTTAAAATAATTTCTGCATATAATAATGTATTTTTTCAAGTTTTTGATAGTTTTTTTTATTAAACTTATTTTAAGCTGTACAGCATGTGGTATACCTCCAAGAATAGCATGTTTATAGCAGGCTGGTTTACAAGTACTTTTTAGTTCGCTTAATGAACAGTTTTGTATAGTCAGCATTGCAATATAATGTTCTTGTTGCACTTCAGTACATGTATCAGCCTGATAAATTAGGAAAATCTGTAAGTATGAACATTAAAACTTGCTTGTAAATCATCCATTTCTATGTTTTGCAAAATAGCGCTATGCTATGCTGAAGTGCGAGTTCCAGATGTACAGGAACTGCATATTTGCACATTTTATCTCAATATTGTTCTCATGCACACCTAAATGCAAAGTGGGCAAGTGACTACATTGATCAGATCACACTCACTAACTCATTACTGGGAGGAAAGACACCCTGAAGAAATTAACTGTCAGGTAATTCATCAACAAATGTGAAAGGTAGGGAATTGCATAAGCCTAATGTTTAAGATAGGACAGTTTGTTTTCAACTGCTGTCCAAACTGATTCCCCATTTACCTTCAACCAGCAGGGCCCAGCTACGTAATGAATTTTATGTGTGCAAAGAGGCATCCCTCTAGCCTAACCTCTTCCTCTCTCAAACGGCCTGCAAGAACTGTACCAACAGAGAAAAGCACCATAGAACAGCCACTGCACCTCACCAGGGGCAGAATACTTCTATAAAGCCAAGACTTTAATCTCAGCTGTCAAGTATTTTCTTCCAAAATGAACTACTTGGTTTGGAAGGAGGCTTTGGCATCGTGTTTGGCAAAACTACACTTTTTATACATGTAATGAAGAAGAGAATAAAATGTCGTATGGTAAGTAACAGAGGAGCACATTGGTGTCTGAGCAGATCACAAATGTACAGGGCTTAGTTTTCCGTTAGGTTTCATCTGCTCTGCCCCAGAAACTTTTAAAGCACACTAGACAGTTCAATGCACAATTACCAATTCTAATTTCCAGGGTTACAATATTCTAATTAGTTAACTTTGTTCCCAAAAAGGCATCCCTAGAAAGTGGTTTCCCTAGTTATATGGATGAATTAAGCTTGTTGGCTAGTAATAGAATCCTTTTTCTACTATCTCCAGAATGTTTTTGGCTGCATTTAGATTACAAAGTAGCAAACCCCAGTAGAAACTAGTGCTGTATACTGGACAGTGCTGATGACCCAACATCCTCACTCAGTGGTCTTTATTTTGTGGGTATGCATTTTGGACCATCTCTACACTAGGATGACAGCAAGAACACCACCAGTAACACTGGGCCTGTGGGACATACCCCCCTATCCAGGGGTATGCATTTTGCAATTTCATTTCATCCTGTGAGAATAAAATTTGTATATCCCAAAACACCTTCTTCATGAGGCGAGCAAAAGTCATAGAATCATAGAAGCACAGAATCATAGAATGGCCTAAGCTGGAAGGGACCTTAGAGATCATTGAATCCAACCTCCCTGCCGTGGGCAGGGACGCCTCTCAACTAGCTCAGGAAACACACGCAGAGCGAACGGGGATCGAACCTGCAACCTTGGTGTTATCAGCACCACGCTCAACCAACTGTCCAGTGGAGACTGTTCAAGAAAAAAAAAAGTACATTTTTGATCTGACTGAGATACAGACAATTCTAAGGGTGCTTCTATAGTTGTACTTATAGATAATGACTGGATCACAAAGTATTTAAATCTTCCAGTAAACCAAGCTCTGATCTTTGCAACTATTTGCATCATACCAGCAAAGATACAGTTAGGGGAGAGCTAGGGCTGCTCTTCCTAGAAGGAACAGGGTGCATTTTGGAAAATACTTCTATCAGAAAGCATCCTGAATATCAACTCTGCATATTTCCCATTGAAATATAAACTCAATTCATATTTTCCCAAAGAAAAAAAACCAAAAGATATTTATTTCACTTGTCTCAACTATATTTGTAATACAAATTACATTATACAAAAAGCATACCAAAGTAAAAAGAACACTGCTGCTTTGCACTGTTGAAAATACTCAGATACATAAAATCAAAGATCATGTTTGCTTCATTGGAGCAGGAATATTAGCAGATGCTTGTTCTAAGTAAGCTAATGGGCCCTGAGGCATTTCTGCAGGCTTTTTGTGCTGTACGCTGATATCTTCCAGGACCTGTTGCCAGTGTCGCAATTTACTCAAATGCTTCTGAATTAATGCTTCTTTTCTCTGCAATTCATTTCTTAATTCTGAAACATCCTACGGATGACAAAATATGTGTTAGTAAATAGACAGTATTCATAAGAATAACCAACTCACATAAAGAGCATGTAATTTTTTCAGCTTGAGTTTTCAAGCCCATTTTATAGGGATTCTAATAATGGAAAAGTGCCTAATGAAACAGAGGGAAAGCGCTGTGAATGCACTAGTTCCCCTTGGCCACACATTTCAGATATAATTACTTCCAGCAAACTTTGACCAACTAGCTTGTTTCTTCCAATGAAACTATCACCTGCATTCCAATACTCCACAGAATAGCAGGCATCCAGGTTCATGGGAGAAGCTGTGTTAACAATTAGGTTCTACAAATGTAAGATACAGCATCATGTCGAGAAACCCAAAATTAATGTGAACGAGGTGACTAACTATACTGGTACACAGCTTTTCTGATCTAGCCTAACACCGACAGTTAACTTAAACATACCTCTTTAATTACTTGCTCTGGTTTCTGAACTGATAGCTGCAGTCTTTTTTGTAGAAAAAAACATTCGGTTTGTCTTGCCACATCCAGAAACTTCTGGATGCACTGATCAACACCTATATGTAAAATAACAAAACAGAAAGAACAGATTCCAAAACAAAAAAGAAGTTATCAGGCTAACACTGATAGCTGTTTGCATGTTTTGTCTGCACACTTTTCACAGCACTTTCTAGAATTTCAGGTTTACTAAAATAACACATTTATAAAACCAGGATGTGCATTAAGTCTCTGTATAAAATGCTGCTTTGCAAACTTTCAAAATTTTTTAAAAGTAGAAGAAAACAACTCTTTTTTTCCCGGTCACGCCCGGGTGGGTTTCTTTCCCCGTGAGCCTCGCGCTACTGCCAGAAGCGTTACACCTGGGAAGAGGCGAGCGAGCGATCCCGAGTCGCGCCAGGGTCCCCGCTCAAAT